ACAGAGGATGAGATGGTTGGATGGCATCACCATTTCAATGGACATGAGTTTGGGTGAACTCCGGGAGTTGGTGATGGACAAGGAGGCCTGGTGTGCTGCAGTCCATGGGGTCGCAAGGAGTTGGACATGACTGAGCGACTGAACTAAACTGATTCTTCCAACATAGGCTATTTATCCCTGCTTCAGTACTTCTCTGTGGGCTGTTTCACCTTAGGATAAAATATTTGTGTAGCGAAAAGATCAATATTTATTGCCTCTCCTTCACATCAGGCAGAGAAATGATTTAAAGTGAAGGGTAGGGGTGGCTAAATGGGAAGCTTGAGGAATCCTTGGGATGAAACTGTACCTTAGCCTGGCTATATCAATGTCTATATCCTGGTTGTGATATCATATTATAGTTTTACAAGGTGTTACCATTGTGGGAAACTAAATAGAGGGCCCAGGGATCTCTCTGTATTATTTGTTGCAAGTGAATGTAAATCTACATTCATCTCAGAGTTAAAAATTCAAGCCTGCATTTTCTTAAGATAAAAGGTAGCTATGTGGGTGGAAGTATATGAATATTCTGGACAACTACCAATATCTACTAAAGCTAAACATATGTTAAACTTGGACTAGCATATTTCTGACTCCCAGGTACATAACCTCCAGAAATCTACATATTTCTGTATACCAAAAGTATAAAATGTTCATAGNTTCTGTATACCAAAAGTATAAAATGCTCATAGCAGTGCTATTTATATAATAATCAAAATGAACTGTCCAAATGCCCACAGTAATATAAAATTTAGATAAACTGTGGAGTATCCATATAATGAAATACTGCCAGCAATGAGGATGAGTGAACTATAATCATATACAGTAGCAAACAAATCACACAAACAAGGTTGAGGGGCCAGGCACAAAAAGGTAGATCCTATATGAGTTCTTTGATACAAAGTTCAAAATCTGACAAAACTAATCCATGGTGTTAGAAGCTGAATATTTTGTTTCTGAGGACTGGTAGCATGGAAACCATGTATTAAACTTGTGAAGATTCACTGACCTGTACATAATTGTTCATTTTTATTTTTATGCATGGATAAGAATTTAAGTTGAAAACAAAGGCAGTAGTGGTAGCTGCACTGGAGCCTCTATGATTTATTTAATCGTGAATGTGTTTTTACAGCTTTCTGTCACAATGCTTTTTCTCACATTGCATATCTATCAAGACTCACATGTTTTCTGAGTTCTATGCTCATAAATGACCTTTTCACTTTTTACTATGATTTTATCTCTCAATTGTGATCAATTATTTTGTTTTGGCTAGAGCACTTGTTGAAGAAATTTAAAAGACATTTTTCTTATTCTTTGTTGGAAAAATATTTATATCATAGGTATAAAATAGTTAATTCAATTTCTCCTTCTTAATATATGAAAAATTCCATTTTTTAAAGATGAAGTCATGACTTTATTTGTTTCTTTGCATTATATTCAGTTTAATCACTTACATTGTCAGTTGGCTTTCATTTTGGTTTGTTTTTCACAAAAATTTTTTTTAGCAGATTTCCTTATTTGTTGTTGTTGTTTAGTTGCTAATTCATGTCCAGCTCTTTGCAACACCATGGACTATAGCCCCACCAGGCTTCTCTGTCCATGGGATTTCCCAAGCAAGAATACTGGAGTCACCATTTCCTTCTCCAGGGGACCTTCCCAACCAAGGGATCAAACACATATTGGCAGATGAATTCTTTACCACTGAGCCACATAGGAAGCCTAAAGATCCTTATATACAATAAGAAAAAAATCACCAGGGCTTGTATAGGTTTCCTATTACTGATACAGCAAATTACTACTTAGTTTAAAGCAACATAGATATATTATCTTAGAGTTCTGAAAGTTATAGGTCTAAAATGAGTTTCACTAGGGTGAAACCAAGATGTTGGGAGATCTGTGTTATTCTAGAGGCTCTAGGGAGAATCTCTTTTCAGCTTTTCAGAAGCTGTTTCCATTCTTTGCCTCATAGCCTTTCATCATTGAAGCCCACAATGACTAGGCATCTTTCTCATATCGCATCATTCTAATACTGACTCTTCTACCTCCCTCTTCCACATCTATGACTCTTCTGAGTACATTGGCTCACCTGGACAAGCCAGCATACTGTCCATATTTTAAGGCTAGCCAGTTATTAACTTAATTCTGTCTGCTTCCTTAATTCCTCTTTGCCATGTAACATAACGTATCCACCATTTGGGAACATTAAGATATGGAAGACTTTGGAGGATACTTCTAACTAGTATAGAGACACATTAGGATTTTGTATGATTGGCTAGGTTTTAGCACAAGCTTTATGACTATCCTATGTGGCAGCTTTACAATGAGTAAGATGAAGGTTTGTGCTCTGACTTCTGGCTTCTGCTTAGGATGGAGAAAACTAAAATGATATCACTTCCACTCTTCTACCTTAAAACACTAAACTATCTGCAAATTGGAAACTTTCCTTGAACCCATCAGAAATTCCAAGGCAATCAACCCAAAATCTACAGAAAGACAGGTACCTCCAAGGGAAGACCAGATGTTAGCACTTGCTCACATGGGACAGATGCAGCTAGATACCATAAAAAGGCAGTAAGAAGAATTTAGCCAAAATTTCTAGTGAATTACTTAGAGCTGAGTATGGTCTAGTGTGACCATATAGGACACTTAGGAGCTTCATAAACAAGAAAGAAGTTGACATTACAAGTTTCTCTCCACATATTTTATAAGTAATAATTGAGGATGGTATGACAGTCTTGAGAAAGCCTGGGGGAATATAAGAGAAACCACTACAAAAAAGGCATTAAGCCTTGCCTGGACCCTTCTCTTCCATCTCCTTTGTATTAACAACAACAAGCTTTAAGTCACAGCAGGAGGAGGGAGAAAGGTTGCGGGGAGAAAGGACAGCAAATCCAGTTGCCCTTAGTTAAGGAGTGGAGATGCAACTCATCCCAGAAACAGAACTACTTATCAAAAGACAAAGAAATAATCAGAACCAGTTTTAGATAAGGCACAGGTATTAGAATATTAGACAGAAAATTTCAGCTGCCTATGACTAATGTGGTAAATGCTCAAGTGGCAAAGATGGATAACATGTATCATCAAATATGTAATTTGAGTAAAACATGGAAACTAAACAAAGAAGGCCACACAGACCAATGGAAGAAAAGTGAGAACCCAGAAATAAACCCTCACAAACATAGTCAACTAATGTTTGACAAAGAAGCCAAGAATACTCAATAGGAATATGATAATCTCCTCAATACATGGTGTTGGGAAATCTGAATCACCACATGTAGAGTAATCAAATTTGACTCCTATCTTATTGTTGTCCAGTTGCTCAGTTGTGTCTAACTCTTTGCAACCCCATGGACTACAGCACACAAGGCTTCCCTGTCCTTCAGTATCTCCCAGAGTCTGCCCAAACTCACATCCATTGAGCAGTGATGCCATCCAACCATCTCATCCTCTATCACGTGCTTCTCCTCCTGTCCTCAATCCTTTCCAGCATCAGGGTCTTTTCCATTGAGTCAGCTCTTTATATCAGGTGGCCAAAGTATTGGAGCTTTAGCATCAGTCCTTCCCATGAATATTCAGGGTTGATTTTCCTTAGGATTGACTGGTTTTTTCTCCTTGCTGTCCAAGGGATTCTCAAGAATCTTCTCAAGCACCACAATTCAACAGCATCAATTCTTCAGCGCTCAGCCTTTCTTATTGTCCGATTCTCACATTCATACATGACTACTGGAAAAACCATAGCATTGACTGTATGAACCTTAGTCAGCAAAGTAAACGTCTCTGCTTTTTAATATGCTGTCTAGGTTTGTAGTAGCTTTTCTTCCAAGGAGCAAGTGTCTTCTAATTTCATGGCTGAAGTCACCATCTGCCATGATTTTGGAGCCCAAGAAGAGAAAATTTGTCGCTGTTTTCACTTTTCCCCCCTTTATTTGCCATGAAGTGATTGGACTGGATGCCATGATCTTAGTTTTTTGAATGTTGAGTTTTAAGCCAGCTTTTTCACTGTCCTCTTTCACCCTCATCAACAGGCTTTTTAGTTCTTCCTTGCTTTTTGCCATTAGAGTGGTAATATCTGCATATATGAGGCTGTTGATATTTCTCCCAGAAATTCTTGATTCCAGCTTACTATTCATCTAGCATGGCACTTTGCATGATGTACTCTGCATAAAAGTGAAATGTACAGAGTGACAAAATACAGCCTTGACATACTCCTTTCCCAATTTTGAACCAATCTGTTCTTCCCTGTCTGATTCTTATTGTTGCTTCTTAACCTATATACAGGTTTCTCAGGAGGCAGGTAAGGTGGTCTGATATTCGTATCTCTTTAACAATTTTCCAGTTTGTTGTAATCCATACAGTCAAAGGCTTTAGTGTAGTCAGTGAAGCAAATGTTTTTCTGGAATTCCCTTGCTTTTTCTATATCACTCCAAAAATTAACTTCAAATGGAGGAAAGAACTGAAACCATAAAACTCTTAAGAAGAAAATGTAGTGGAAAAGCTCCTTAATATATGTCTTGGCAATAATTTTTTGCATATGATATCAAAAGCACAAGCAACAAAAGCAAAAATTAGTAAGTGAAACTACATCAAGCTAAAAAGCTTCTGCACAGTAAAAAAAAAATTAACAAAATGCAAAAGGAACTTATTAAATATATGTGCAAATCATATCTTATAAGTGATTGATACCCAAAAGCTAAAAGGAACTCAATTCAATAGCAAAACAAACAAACAAAAAAAACTATCCGATTTTAAAAATAGAGGAACTGAAGACATTTTTCCAAAGAAGACATACCGATGCCCAACAGGTACAGGAAAGGATGTTCAGCATCACTAATCACCAGGGAAATGCTAGTCAAAACCACAATGAGATATCACCTCATACCTGTTAGAATGGCCATTTTCAAACTGACTACAAATAACAAATATTGATGAGGATATGAAGAAAAGAGAACCCTTGTTGCTGGTCGAAATGTAAATTGGTAGGGCCACTGTAGCAAACAGTATGGAGGTTCATCAAAAATGAAAGCTAGAGCTACTGCGCGAGTCAACAGTCCCACTTCTAGCAGCTAGACTGCGTCTTTCTCCTGAGCTCCTGCCAGGCTGTGGTGTGAAGTGAGGGGAACTGGGCATTTGCCCTTTGGATTGGGAAGTGTGATGAGGTGGCTGCCATCTGTGCAAATCTCTCACTGCTCTGATTGTTAGCAATCCAACACACACACCCTCCTCACAAGTGGAGTCTAGGCTTCTCCAGCTCTCCCATCTGTCTCAGTGGGTTTCCCGGCACCAGGGGGCTGCCCAGGGCGAGGATCCACCTGTGTGGACCTTCTCTTCCATACCCCTCCAGGGGCGCTGGTCCCACCCTAACGCCTTCCCCTCCCCCTGCAATTCTGCCCAGTTACATGGAGATCTTTCTTGCAGTTTTGGCTTTATAAAAGATATTCTGCTGGATTCCAATTAGTAGTTTTTTTTTGTCTTTCATGTGTAGATATATTTTGGATGTGTTTGTGAGAAGTGAGCTCCATGTCTTCCTACTCTGACACTCTTTTAAAATAGAATTTATTTTTATTACTTTTAGAGTGCTATAATCTATTCAAAAACATTATTTTGAAAATAATAGATACAGAGAGGAAAAATTTTTTAATGTAATCAGCTATCGATGGTTGCTCAGAGGCAATCATGTTAACAATTAAGCTACAGTCACACATCCATATAAGGTAAAATTGTCCTTCACATAAAAACAATACTATGATTACTTTTATATGTTAATAAATGCTTACAAGGTAACTTTTTATGGATACTTCATGATCCACTGTTTGTACTTTTGTTGGATATTTAGGTCCTTTTGAGTTTTCACAATGTTAATCTCCGCTTGTGTCCGTTTATGAACTTAGCTTCTATTTTTGAGTCAGAAGGGTATATATCATGTTTATCTCTTTTCTGATTCACTGTCTTATATGATAAGACATTAACATTTCTACATAGAGATTCCCTCATTTGAAACCTAAGACTGACAGTTCTCACAGGACTGTTGTGAGAATTAAATGTACAATACTCAAAAAAAGGCTTCAACAGAAGATGTTTTTAAAATCATAATTTCTTTGGTTAAATATACATTTTGTGTTAACAGGTTTACCACCTCAAAAAGGATTTTGGACCCACTGGAAACTGAAAGAACTGTCCACAACAACCATTCATGGTAGCAAGAAAATGCCTTCAAAATCTATAAAGGACATGATTGCGAGAAATCAAGAACACCTATCAACTTGTAAGTAAATTTATTATATATTGCTTACTGAAATAGCCAAGATCAAGTATATCATTATTAATTTATCAGAATGTTTTAATGTTTATTTTCTAGTGAGAATCTTAAAATAACATTTAATTTATAGTAATTTGAATACTGCTTTACATTTTTAGTTTTTCATTATAAAAATTACATGTACTTAAGTCCTTTTCTCATTTGCATCTATTATGATTTTAATATTAATTTCAGGGAACTTCTCAGGTATAAGAATGCTTCAAATACTGTTACTTTTTGGCTGTATTGCTAACTGGTTAATAATGTGTTTTACCAATAGATAAGCTTAAAATGTTTTATTCAGTAAATTTAAATAATGCCTTTGTAGAGTGTCAGTTTTGTGACATATTTATCAGGACTTACTTAACCTAATATAAAAAAACAATCTACCTGCTTTTATTTAGTACTTTTTAATTTCCATTTTTATTCAATTCTTTAATCCACTTGTGGTTTATTTGTTACAAAGGGAGATAATTGGATTCCAGTATTTTGTTTCTAAATGCTCACTTTTTAGATAATCCACTTACAGACTACTTTATTTTTTTTTCTTTTAAAAAATTTTTAATCTTACAAACCCTTGTGTCGAGGGCTGAGTTTCAATAGATCGCAGCGATGGAGCTACAGACTACTTTAAATACCAATTCACATGAATATATTTTTGTGTTCTCTTCTACCTGCCAAATTTCTGAGACAAGACCAAACTTCTTAGTTACTCTATATTAATAAGCACTTTAAGGCAAGCTCATGTCTCTCTAATTTATACTGTATTTCAATACTAAATACTAAACGTTGGTCTGGTGCTCAGGCCTCATTACTGACTGACTATACAGAATCTCAGACTCAGTATTTATTTTAAAGGTACTCAGATGATTTCAATTTGCAGGCAAAGTTAAGAACTCCTAGTGTAAAGGGAAATACCTTTCCATTATACTTCTTGATATAGGCTGGTGGAAGGAGGGACTAACCTCCTCGACGTACTCTTCTGAAAACTCTCTTCAGTTAGTTTTCTATTCTAAAATTGTTTAATTGGTTAATTACTGCTCTTCTGATTAGTACTTTGATTTTTTGCCACTCTTATCAGCATGCTGTCTGATTTCTATCTTTTAGTAGTTATGTGAAATTTCTTATTTGCTAATGTTACTCTGGTTTTTATAGAACTTCATACATATCTGTTTAGAAAGAGAGATAATTTTGTATGCATTTTGTATAGAAAGAGAGATAATTTACTATTTTTACCCAATCTTAAATATCTCTTTTCGCTTCTTAGTCTTACATGTGAAAAATAATTTGGCTAAATAGAAAATTAAGGAACTTTTAATTTTTTCAAGTTTTAACTTACAGAAAAGTGGTAAAAATAGTTTAAGGAACCCCCATATATCCTTTATCCATCAGCTGTTTGAATTTATTCTATTTGTTTTATCATTCTCCTTTTTTATATAAGCATTTAAAGCTATAAATTTCCCCAACTACTGTTTCAGCTACTTTCTGCAAATTTTGATGTTATATTTTCATTGTCATTTAATTCAGAATATTTTCTAATATCCAGCATAATTTCTATTTTGATCCATGGGTTATTTAGAGGTGTATTATTTAATTTTTAAAAATTTAGTGTTTCTCTGGATATCTTAAAATTACTGATTTATACTTTTAAAAAATAATGATCTGATCTACTTTTAAAAATAATGATTTCTACTTTTAAAAATAGTGATCTGTACAGTCTTTTGTAGTGCATTGAGATTTGTTTTATAGTACAGTACATGATCTGTCTTGGTAAACATTCCATGTGCACATGAGAAGAATATATATTCTTCAATTATTTTGTCAGTCTCAATTAGATCAAGGTGATTTATCATGGCTCAGATGGCAAAAGCATTTGCTTGCAATGCGGAAGACCCAGCTTCAATCCCTCGGTGAGGAAGATCCTCTGGAGAAGGAAATGGCAACCCACTCCAGTACTCTTGCCTGAAAAGTTCCATGGATGGAGGAGCCTGGTGGGCTATAGTACATGGGATCGAAAAGAGTTGGACAAAACTGAGCAACTTCACTTTCACTTTTCACTTTAGATCTTCTATATCAGGGTTCGGTAAACTATAACCTACGGGCCAAATCTGGCCTATTTTTATACATCCTATAAGCTAAGAATGATTTTTCCATTTTCAAGGATTGTAAAATAACAAAACATTAAAGAATATACCACAGAGGTCATTTGCAGCCCACAAAGCTTAAATATTAGATTATCTGGCCCTTCATAGAAGTTTTCTAACTCTAATTCTGTATCTTTATGATAGTTTATTTAATTGCTCTGTTTATTTCTGAGAGGTGATATTAAGATCTCCAACTACAATTGTAGAATTATCTATTTCTTTCCTTAATTCTGTTGATTCTTGCTTTATGCATTTTTAAGTTATTTGGTACATATACATCTGTGTATTATGTTTTCCCTTTAATCATTATGCTTCTTTGTATCTATGATAGTTCTACTGAGTGCTGTTCTGTCTGTTACTAATACAGCCTCTTCAGCTGGCTTATGTTTGTGGTCTGCATCGTGCATCTTTTCCCATCATTTTACTTACTACTTCTTTGTGTTTTATGTTTAACGTGTACCTCATATAAATGAGATATAGTTGAATCTTGGGGTTTCTTTAAGTCTTACAATTTCTTCCTTTTAATTGGAGTGATTACTTCATTACATTTAACATAACTATTGAGTTAGTTCAACATAACTGTGGTTAGGTTTGTTTTACCATGTTCCTGTTTGTTTTCAGTTTTTATCTCACCTGTTTTTTGTTCTTTAGTTCCCCTTCTATGTCTTCATTTGGTTAATCAAATATTTTTACTATTCCATTTTTATTCCTCTGTTGGCTATTTGCATATTACCTCCTTGTATTTTTTGTGATTGCCTTAATGGTTTCAAACACATCCTTAAATGATTGAAATCCTACTTAATGTTATCCTGTTTCACTAAAATGTAGGAACTTGGAGAAAGATAATTACATGCACTCTACTCCTCTTTGTCCTTGTGCTATTGTTGTCACGTATATCAGAAGATCTACATAAATAATGGCCTCACATTGTCTAGTGTTAGGATTTTTGCTCCAAATAACTACATGGTTTATTTCACCTTTATTGAGATCTAACTGATGTACAATAAATCACACACATTTAGAATATAAAATTTGACAATTTGACATTTATATAAACTCATAAGACTATCACAACTTTCAAGATAGGAAACATATCCACCATTCCCAAAAGTTCCTTAGACGTTTTTTGTAATTCCTCCCTCCTTCTCAATCCCTAGGCAATTATTCGTGTGATCTTTGTCAGTACAGGTTAGTTTGCATTTTCTAGAATTTTATGTAAATGAACTCATAGAACATGTGCTATCTTTTGTTGGCATTTTCTACTCTGCATAATTATTTTGAGATTCATTCATCTTGTTGCATGTATTAATAGTTTGTTACCCTGTATTTTGCTGAGTCCATAGTAAGGATATACCACAATTTCTTTATCTGTTCACAGGTTGGTAGACATCTGCATTGTTTCCAAAATAAGTTATTGTAAGCTTACTTATAAGCTATTATAAGTAAAGCTGCTATTAATATTCATTACAAGTCTTTGTGTAAACATAGAATTTCATTTATCTTTTGTAAACACCTACTAGTGGAAGTCTGGGTACTATACGAAGTACATTACAGCATTTTAAGAAATTGCCAAATTTATCTAAAATTTTACTTCCTACCAGTATACAAGTTATATTAATAGTTACTCTACTTTCTTGTCAACACTTTGTATAATCTTTTAATTTTATCCATGCTTGTGGATTATACTGATAGGTTTTATTTTGATTTCTCTAATAACTAAGTATGATGAGCTTATTTTCATGTGCTCATTTGCCATTTGTAGGTCTTTGCTGAAGTGTTTATTTCAGTCTTTTGGCTATTTTTATTTGGGTTGTTTGTGTTCTTTTAATTCTGTTATAACAGTTCTTTATATATTCTAGATATAAATTCTTTAACAGATATATATTTTATAAATATTCTTTTCTAATCTGTGGTTCCCTATTTATTTTATAATAGTGTCTTTTGAGGAGAAGGCAGTGGCACCCCACTCCAGTACTCTTGCCTGGAAAATCCCATGGACAGAGGAGCCTGGTGGGCTGCAGTCCATGGGGTCGCGAAGAGTTGGACACAACTGAGCAACTTCACTTTCACTTTTCACTTTCATGCACTGGAGAAGGACATGGCAGCCCACTCCAGTGTTCTTGCCTGGAGAGTCCCAGGGATGGGAGCCTGGTGGGCTGCCATCTATGGGGTCACACAGAGTTGGACGCTACTGATGTGACTTAGCAGCAGCAGCAGCAGTGTCTTTTGAAAGACAAAATTTTATAGTATGGTGAAATCAAATTTATCATTTTTTCCAATATAGCTTGTGCTTTTTTTCATATTCAAGAATTTTTTTATGAAGCTTAATTTCACCCAAGATTTTCTCCCATATTTTCTTCTAGAAATTTTGTAGTATATAATTTTATAGATTATAACTGTAGCTCTTACATTTAGAACTCTAATTCATTTTCAATAATTTTTGAAAATTATGTGAAGTAAACATTGAGGATCATTTCTTTGCATATTGTTCTAGAACCATTTGTTGAAGAGATTATCTTTGCCCATTGAATTACCTTGGAACTTTTGTCAAAAAAGCTTTTGACAACACTTGTTTTGGCCTATGGCTAAATACACACTTGTACTCTAAATTTTGTTCCAGTGATGCCAATACTAAACTACCTTGATAAATGTAGTTTTATAACATGTCTTGGAGTCAGGTATTATAAATTCTCCAACTTCATTCTTCTAAAAAAAATTATTTTGGTTATCCAGAGTCTTTTCATTTCTGTATAATTTTAAACCACTTATCAGTATTTACAGTATGTACTCTGGAATTTTAATTGAAATTAGGATAAATCTATC